TGAGTGGAGGAAGGGTTTCGAAGACATTAGATGCAAATAAAGGGAAGATTGGAGGCTGGGTTGCAAAGAAGTTAAGATTAAATAAAATAGGGCTCATAAATAAAGCATCCAATTTGGTTGCGACTGAGTCGGAAAATGCTTTAGGAAAGGACGATGAGTTTTCAAAACACGCAAAAGACTTTAATGACCAGATGAAAGGTGAAACAATGCATTTAAATAGAGTCGATGGAACTCTTCCTCCACCAGCAGTTCTTCCGTATGGTCCCTATGGAATGTATGGAAACCCTTACGAAAGACCATTTGACCCATTGACTGGTGGAAGTAACTGGTATCATTACGGACGAAGAAGAAAGACAGTCAAGTTGGAGACAGACGTGAAGAAAGCAACTAAAAAGAAACCAAGGAAGAGAGTTATAAAGCAATGAATTCATGAGGTGAAAAAAGAGGTGAAAAAAGAGGTGAGATTTCACCACTTCACCTAAATTTATTTTTGCGCTATGTTTTCATACGTGTGAGGGTGGTGATATCATTAATTTTAAGTTTATTTTTTATTTTATTTTTATATAAATGACGAAAACTATTGAGATAACAAACTACAACGGTCATGAGTTCAAGAATTTGTTCTTCGTTCCTCGTGAAAATACATTCTATCAGATACGAGGGAGAAAGGGTAAAGTTAGTTTGAGCGTTTATGAAGGAATGAAGAATGGAAAGTTTATACAAGCATACGATACAAACGGTAAGCGTGTTTCATTAGCTTTGTCAAAACTTACTAAACTATGACAGTGATTTTGACTCTGACGATTGGAGACAGCAGCGATACTGAAGAATATGAACTATTGTGTGAAGCACAGCAATGGGAAGAGTTGCAATACTTTTGTAAGTGAGAACGTTTATTTTTACAGTAGTAAGGTGAAGTGGTTGGCGGCTTTATAAATATTTAAGGTTAAGTTGGTGTTTGTGTTTGTGTTGTAAAATATACGTTAACGGTTTTGTAAAGTGTCAAATTCACATATCAGGTGTAAGGAGGCTCGCAGTGCCTCCGTACACTTGATATGTATACTAACTACAAACAGACCAGTATGCAAATATTGAGAAAATAAGAAGACTTGACCCTAACGTTCCAGGAGTTTATGTTAACCTTTCTGGTTCAGATGGAACTGCTGCCACTAAAGTAAAACTGAAACTTAGAGTTCCTTTGTCATCTTTCCTCATCTTCAGGTTTTTAAGATACTTGCCAAACTGGGCAGGAAAAATTTCTATCGAACTTACTCCAAGCAAAAATAACTTAGTCATTGCACCAACGCAAGACCCATTCACTCTTACAGACGTAAAGGGAGCAAATCAAACGTCATTCGCCGAATTTTGCAAAGACAAAGTTGACTTAGACTTTGGTTTCTCAAACTTCAACACTGAAGTAAACTTATTTCAATGCTGCTGGAACTGCTTGGGACCCAGTTAAGTTCACATGCGAAAAATTTGAATGCAAGAGAATAGAAAGCAGACTTGCAGTCTATATGTTGGACCCAGATATTTCAAATGCTTTAGCTGCCAAATATATTGCAGTTCCACTTATGTTCCCTATACACCAAATATCTGTCAAAGACTTTGCAGGTGAAGTTGGAAACCAAAGTGCTGACCCAGGTGCAAGAACAGATATTGCTTTAACAACTGCAATGAAACATGCAGATACTATGTTGTTCTTTTCAGACGAACTATAAATGACTATTCTTGTTTCTACAACCCTGGTAAAAATATCATATAAACATAGATGGCAAATATTATCAAGAGAAGAATATTCTACAGTTGAAGATATGAGGTCATACAACTTGACATTAGATGCTATGAACTTTAACAACAACTTCACAACAACCATTAACCCTGAAATGCAAAGTTCTATTATGCCATATGTGAAAGTATGGACCCATACAGGAAGTCAAAAAACTCAATATACAAATGGAGACCGTTCAAACTTTTGGCTTGGCATTCCATTTGCTGACTCAGAAGACTTTATGGGTGGTATTTCAACTGTTGGTACTTACAAATACAATATACTGGTGACAGAGACGGTCCAGATGAACTGAGAGCAAAGAAGTTTACAAAACCAATAGCACTTTTCACGGAAGATGCTCTTTTGAAGATTCGTTCGATGAAACCTGCTGGGGCTCCTCAGATTGGCATAACGACAGCTTCCATCGAGCAGATTTTGGCAGCAGGTCAGTAAGTTGTTCTTGAACTGACTTCTCTCCGTCAAATATTGACAGTACGCCAGTTTTGACATAATATTGTATTATAAACTTTCCTTTAGAAATATCTGTAAGTTTTGAAGTTATATTTTTGTCTGCTTCAAGAACTTTCACCATTTCAGTTATACCAACTTTCTTTGCTTTATGAAAATATTTTGGTCAGCAAAGACTGCTATTCTATAACATTTTCCATTGTTTGTATAAAGAAACTATTCTGTCAATGTATTGTATTGTTTGTGTGTGTAAACTTTGTTTCTGCTTCAATTCAAAGAGATATCCGAATACGTCCATCTTTTTATTCTAATAAAATGTCATTTCCGAAAAATAGAAGCGTAAGTGTTTCAAAAGGTTTAATGGCTGGTGGCAGATGTGAAGTTAAATTCACCAACTCAAACAAACAGTCAAATGTTATTGTCAATGTCAAAGACAGAGATGTTGAAGTGGGGAAACCATACGAGGACGAAGATGGTATAACAATTGTTCCTGTAAAAGAACAACCAACATATCCTGAAGTTAGCAGAGACTTAAGTTCTGTTGCAGATATTCGAAACGACTACCAACAACTGAAAGACAAACTTAAAACTCAGGAGAAGATTTGTCAAGCTTTAGGTATAATGTTAAACTTGGTCGAACACCCCTGTAAAAGTGAACTCATATGTCATTGCACCTCATGAAGTTTTGAAAGAAACTATTGAAACTTTTGACAGAGGCAGACGATATAAACATCAAAGAAATAGAACCCGACATTGGTTGCTGTGGTGTTTCATATAATGTCATTGACAAGATATACGTTATGAAAGGAGGTGAAACGTTGAACTTAAAATATAGTTTCCCAGACGTTATAAAAATATTTGACGACCACAACATTTCATTAAAATTTATTTGCTAAGTAAAAATGTCAAAACTTCTTGAAAGATGTTTGAAGAAAAATAATATAGACTTTATTTCATGTAAAGGACTTTACACACTTTTGAACGATATGAAAGACCCTGTTTTTTTGTTCGTGTAGACAAAGGAAAGTTCTATGTCTTTACAAAATATTTGAACTTCTTAGACAGAGAACTTCAAGAAACGCCATGTGAAAGTTTAGATGAAGTTCTTCTCCACTTTCAGAAAAACTTTTAAATATATAAATGGCAGAAGACATAGTGGTTTATACTATTACGACTAAAAACCCTGAGTCATATAATTCTATAACAACAAACTTACAAAGTCCTCAAGGACGATATTGTAAACTAACCTTAAACACAATGACGACTAAAGCTTGTTTTGCTCTTTTGACACCAGAAGATTTTATTGTTGTGAATGGTAAAAAATACTCCTTTGAAGATACTTACTCAGATATACCACCAACAGGTTTTGTTGACTTATTTAATACTTTAAGACGAGTGTAACATGTGCTGCAACTAGAGCAGGTTTCATTATGTTTGGATGTCCGACTGAGTTTACTATAAACAATATGAGCTATAATACAAAACTTATATCTGGTTTTTACTACCAACAGTTTCCTATAACAGGAAAAGGGTGTCATACAAGGAATGTCTGTTCCATTGACTTTAAGTACACCTATTTTATATATTGTTTCAAACTTAGGTTCAAAGTGTTATTCGAATGTCGACAGAAACTACTATGACCAAAAGATACTCATGCGTATAAATAACACATTCTCTGCTGGTTTGCCTATTGTTCATTCGAATGCAGAGTTTTCAGCTTTAGTAAACTCAAACACTTTAGCAAACATAAACTTAACCTTAGTTGACGCAAACTTTGTTCCTGTAAAACTTTTATGTCCTATGTATTTGTCAATGACGGCAGAAAGTTTCGAATTGGAAGATGCAACTGGTGAAAGTATTGTATTACAAGAACAACTTCAACAACAAATAGCTCAAGAACAACAAATGCAACAAATAGCTCAAGAATAAAAAAAATATTTTTTTTATTTTTATAAAAATGTACAGAATAGATGTTTCAGATTTTTATGACTTCCAAACATTCAGAAATATGTGTCCATTTCGAGACTATAACAAAGCAGTCGAGAATTTGAAACGTTTAGTCATTTATGTCGACTCTGCCCCAGAATGTTATGTTATGAAAGAATGGGATGTAGTCTTTAACAAACCTAAAGCGACAATAGTTTCAGAACAAGAATGTAACAGAAACTTAAGAAAATAAAAGTCGTACAAGTTGGCATGAAGATGTTAGATGCTTGGGATATCTTATTGTCAAAGTTAGAAGATTTTTCAGTTCGTGGTATAAAGTTTTATACACCTTCTCCAAACTTCTATTCTATCTTCACTGGATATAAATACGAACAAGTAGAATGGAAAACACAGTATTATAGAAGCTTGGTTAGACCATGTCAAAGAAATTATATGCAATGGAAACGAAAGAGTCTATGAGTATATCTTATGTTGGTTTGCAAACATCTTACAACATCCAAGTGCTAAAAATGAAACTGCTCTCATTATAATTGGAAAACAAGGAACAGGTAAGAACACTTTCTTTACAGATATCTTATGCAAACTGTTAGAGGGCTATTCGAATCCGAATATGACAAACTTAGAAAACATCTGTGGCAAGTTTAACTCTTCAATAGAGAATATGAAACTTATAGTATGTAACGAACTTCAAAGTATAGATACAACAAAAGTTTTGAACTCAGATGCTTTGAAGAGTCTTATAACAGACAAAGTTGGAGTTGTTGAAAGAAAATATAAAGACCAAAGAGTTTGTGAAAATGTTGCAAACTTCGTTATGGTTTCAAACAATGCTGTTCCGATGAAGTTAGAAAGTTCTGACAGAAGATATGTAGTTGTCAGAACGTCAGAAGCTCATATGCAAGATACAGAATATTTTGACGCTTTGTCAGAAACTTTGACATCTGACTTTTACAACCACTTGTTCTCATATTTCATGACATTAGATATTTCTAAGTTCAATCCAAGACAAATTCCACATACCGAAGAGAGACAAACATTGTTAGAAGCAAACAAGAGTGTATATGAACTGTTCATAGATGAAACTGACTTTGAGTGTTTAGATGAAAGGTCATTGTACGATTCGTATAAACAATATTGTCAAGAGTATGGTTATATGACAGCATCTAAACGAACATTCTTGGCAAATGTCAAAAGTCTTTTAGACGTACAGAATGGTGTATATACAAAGAAAAATTTTTCTGAGTAAATTTAAAAAAAATATTTTTTTTTATCCGATAGAAAAGATGGCAAAATTCATCTCAGTAAACAAGTACATGTCAGGACTTAAAGAAGAACTAGACCCATTCACATATTTGAATGTTTACTTCTACCATTTTGAAAAGTCTTCATTCAGCAAAGTTTGGAACATCGAACCAGTTAAGTTTGCTATTGTGACTAAAAATGGTGCGAAATTTGAAGACTTAGACATAGAAGGTTTGTTAGCAGTCAAAGAAAGTTTTGACAGAAGGTTTTCAAACCTTAAAGAAGGCAAAGCATACAAACTTGTTATACCTTATGAACCAAAGAAAGCAGACGACTATGAATATTATGAGTCTAAAGTTGTAGAAGTTCAAGGTAAATTGGGTAAAAAGATTTTAGAGTCTAAGCCAGTGTTTGCTCCTAAAGAGGAAGAGAACATTGACATTGACCCAGAAATGTTCTAAAAATAAAATTTTATTTTTACATGTCAAATTTCTTCTTCTCTGGCTCTGGTTCTTTCTTCTCTTCTTCTACTTTCTTTTCTTTCTTTTCTCTCTTCTTCTTTTCTGGTGGAGTTATGTCAAACTTCTCAGAACCATATTTTTGTAAAAGTTCTTTGTCCTTTAATAGCTCTTCTATTCTGTTTTCTATTTCATCTTCAAGAACAGCGCATGTGTCTTCTTTGCATTCTAAGAAGTTTTGTTGGACTTCATCTCTCCAAGAGGCGTCATCTCTGTCAACAAGTCTGTCATTGACAAATTTTAAGACTGCTCTGCTTAATGTTTTATGGTTCTTGTCATATTCCCAGAAACAGAACTTTAGAACAAATTCACCTTTCTTGTTTACACTATGTAAGATTTTATGGTCGACAGATGTTTTGCTGTCGAAAAGCTTGTCTCGAATATAGATAGCGAAATCGCTAGACATTTTCTAAAAGATAAAAATTTTAATTTTTCTAAAAATATGTTAGAAAAAAAGTTTGCTGACATTGACAAAAAATTTGAGAATGTTTTAAATAAGAACAAGAGGAAGTTGGAAAATGCTCAGATAAAACCCATACATGACAAGTTCTTATTTGCTCAGAATGGTATAACAGGTCTAATTGCACCGCCTGGGTCGGGTAAGACTTTCACTTATCTTAAAATGGCTGCACAACAACAAGAACTAGATGAGAAGAACCCATTCTATGAGTTATTTTATTTGTAGTACTTCTGGTCAATTTGACCAAACCGTCAATTCGTTCAAAGATATTATAAAGAAGTCTAAGTTAGTATGTATAAAAGACTCTGAGTTGTTAGATTGGATAAAGAAGTACCAAAGAAGAGTTTTGAAGTACAATGCTATAAATGAGTATGTCAATTCGAAGTTTAAAGACCCAAATGAGGAAATGCAGAGAATATTAGAGAAGAAACACTTCAGAAACAAACAGAAAGAGATAGAATACATTCGAAGAAATTGCAATCTTACGATTGGAAGACTTACCCTCATAGATGTCTTCTTATCTTAGATGACTTTGCTTCTCATCCTTTGTTAAAGAACAGAGAACAAGACATGTGTCGAATTCTTAAGAAGCTCAGACACTTTAACATCTCAGTTGTCATTTGTGTACAGACAGCAAAGAGTTTAAGTAAGGATGTAAAGAGAATACTTACTGATATTATACTTTTTCCCCGGATTGTCCGAAGACGATTTCATGGAACTTATGAAAGAGTCCATGGCAGGTAAGTTTGACAGACATGAACTATGGGAGAAGTACAAAGTCATACAAGACCCTCATACTTCTTTCAGAATTCATATCTACGCAAACAAAGTTCAAATTGTAAAAAGTCAAGCGTAAAAATGTAAGTGTTTGGTCTTAGTCTGTTGTGGTTCTGCAGCTTTCGGTTCTTCTGGCTTTGGAATGGACTCGGTTGGTGGTACGTCGGACATTCGTTTGTGTCCTGTCGGAAGGAAGAGTTCTTCCAGTTGTCGGGAAATTTTTTTCCTGTCGGAAGGAAAAATTTTTTCTGTCGGAAGGAAAACCTTTTTCTGAAGTTCGACCAAAAAGTTCTCAATTTTCGAAAATTTGAATGGTTTACGGACGGACAACTGGAAAATTTTTTCTTGTCGTCGGGAAAAATTTTTTCTGTCGGAAGGAAAAACTTTTTCTGTCGGAAGGAAGGACTCGGAATGCCAGAAGGAAGGACTCGGAATGCCAGAAGGATTTGACAAGACAATTGACCTTATAGAGCTACCTGAGCCATCTGAAGTCAAGCTTGAAAAATAAATGGTTCATTTACTCTGCTTGTTTGAAGTTGTCAAAATACTCTGTTATTTTTTCCTTCAGTAGCGGCAAATCTTCTTTGAAGGTAAGTATTGTACAACCTTTAATATCATAGTGTGTTTGAGGTAACGTATCTTGAACTATTTGTTCACATCTTCATTTGGTGTCATTGAAATCGGTAAGTTTTCGCGATAGAACCAATTTCTGTCAGATTTGTAAATCTTAGCAAGTCGTAAAAGCTTTGTTGTTTCTTCTGACTAAATGCAACATAACCATATCTCTGTCTTCATTTTCCATCTCTTCAGTATAAATCATATACTTATAGTTCTTTCCTTTCCTTTTGGTACCGAACGTGGTATTCTTTTCTGAAGGCTTTGTCTTTTGCTTCAAGCTTGTTTCTATCTTCACGTTCTTGTCTATGAATTTCATCTAACATCATGAAAATATAACAAGCATAACGAGGTGAAGCCCACATTGCAACAGCATTTACAAGAAGTCTATGTACATACCAGCCTCTCAAACCATTTAGCAAATTTTTACGATTTTCGTATGGAATCTCTACCCGCGGTTTTCCTCGGGTAGCAAACATATGAGGAAATTCTTCTAAAAGTTCTTTTGTCTGTTGGTTTTCAAACCAATGATGTGCTTGCTTTGTAGAACGAAGAGCATTCAAAATACTTTGCATTTGGTACATATCGTCTTTGACCGAACGAATGAGACGTAACTGTTTGTTATACTGTATGTACTCGTATTCTTCATTTATGGCTTCATGAACGATAGCAGTTGTTGTGTTCTCTGTTGTTGACATTTCTGTCTTTATATTCCGGATAAAAAAATATTTTATAAAAAACTAGCGTTATTTCCTGACTTTCACAAAAGACCAAAAATAAACGCTTTACATGTATTTTTCAGCAACTTCGTCAAATAATTTTATAGCTTTACCTATCTCATCTACTTCAAACGTTTCTTTACCTTTCGTGGGAGCACCATACATTTTCTCAAAAACTTCAAGCAGTTCTGTTTCAGCAGCTCTCATATCGTTAACGAACACAACCTTGACTCTATTGACTATACTGTCATATCTTTGAGTTATATTATATGTCCTTCCTATCTTATATCTCTTTGTATTGAAGTCCTTCGGTTTCTGAACGATGTAAAGTAAGCCTTCACTGCAACGTTCCGTATCGAATGAACCATATGTTATGAAGTTATATCCAACAACTGGGTCAATCCATAACAAAACTATTGGTATAAGACTTTTGTCAATGAGATATGCTGCAGTTCCATAGAATCTTACCGATATCATAAGCTCAGGATTTCTTGTCAAAATTTTCTGAGTAGAAGCATTTTTAACCCAGTCCTTTGCTTTCTTTCCAAATGGAGATAAAATGTCTGACAAAGAATATTTGTTGTATTTCTTTGAGTATCTTACGTTTAAATCACCTATTCTAACCATTTTGGTGTCATTGTCTATCTTTCTAACTGTTTCAAACTCAGTGTTTGTCATTTTCTGTCTTTACATACAAAATAAAAAAAATATTTTATAAAAAACTAACTTTATTTTTTCTATCTTGTATAAAAGATATGATTTCAGGGATTTTTTTGACGAAGTGCAAAAGTTCTCTTCGTCAAAAAATAACAGTTATATAATGAAATTTGGTCATTTTTTCACGATTTTCATGAGTTTTATGCAAGACCGAAAAAAGTCGGTCTAGAGAAATTTCACTCAAAAGTTCTTGTGTGCTTTGGTTTCTGAACCAGTCGTCTGCGTGTTTAGTGTCTGAACGATGTAAAGTAAGCCTTCACTGCAACTGCATTTACTAATAGTCTATGTACATACCAACCTCTTAAATTTATTGGCAAATTTTTACGATTTTCGTACGGAATCTCTACCCTCGGTTTTCCTCGGGTAGCAAACATATGAGGAAATTCATGAAATTTGGTCATTTTTTCACGATTTCAGGGATTTTTTTTACGAAGTGCAAAAGTTCTCTTCGTAAAAAAATAACAGTTATATAATGAAATTTGGTCATTTTTTCACGATTTTCGTACGGAATCTCTACCCTCGGTTTTCCTCGGGTAGCAAACATATGAGGAAATTCATGAAATTTGGTCATTTTTTCACGATTTTCGTACGGAATCTCGTTCCTCGGTTTTCCTCGGGTCGCAAACATATGAGGAAATTCATGAAATTTGGTCATTTTTTTCAGCAAAAATATATTTTAGGTGAAGAGGTGAGATCTCACCTCTTTTCTCACCTGTTTTCTCACCTGTTTTCTAACATGGTCTAAAACACACAAAACTCATGATTTTTGGTCATTTTTCAGCAAAAATATATTTTAGGGTAGAAGGTTAGATCTAACCTGTTTTCTAACCTGTTTTCTACCCTCGTGAATTTTCATGATTTCATCGTACATGTTTTGTCAAGACTTCTTCGTACATGTTTTGTCAAGACTTCTTCGTACATGTTTTGTCAAAACTTCTTCGTACATGTTTTGTCAAAACTTCTTCGTAATGAGCGTAAATCAGACAAAAATATATTTTAGGGTAGAAGGTTAGATCTAACCTGTTTTCTAACCTGTTTTCTACCCTCGTGAATTTTCATGACTTCTTCGTACATGTTTTGTCAAGACTTCTTCATCGTAATGAGCGTAAAGGACCCAAAAATATATTTTAGGGTAGAAGGTGAGATCTAACCTGTTTTCTAACCTGTTTTCTACCCCAGTTATTTTATAAGCGTTTCACATGGTAAACGTTATTTTTTAAATTTTGTGAAAACTCAACGGTTTGACACAAGCCCTAAAAATTATTTTACTCAGAATTTTGGTCATTTTTCAGCAAAAATATATTTTAGGGTAGAAGGTTAGATCTAACCTGTTTTCTAACCTGTTTTCTACCCCAGTTATTTTATAAGCGTTTTACATGGTAAACGTTATGAATTCGTGAGACTCTAAACAGTTTTGTAGCTTCTATTTCTTCGCTGAGGATATCGAATGTTTTAACTATGCCGAAAGTCTCTTTATATTTCTTCTTGACGTCAGATAGAAGGAAATCGTCAGCAGTTGGATAGTTTTTGTTCAGAAATTCTAACATGTCCATTTTATCTTCTGCTGGCTTTTCTGCTTCTTTCTTTAAGTCTGCATAGTCGTTTCTCATACGTTCTATCTCTTTGACGGAGTAGTTATATTTCCTAATTGCCGCTTTACATTTTGAACATTGCGGGTTCATTTTTGCATTGTACATTGAAATTTGACCTGCTAGAACAACTAAGGCGTCAATGGTTTTCTTTAACTCAAAACATGCAGGTTTTATTTGTTCGTTCCATATTTTACATCTTTTATCTTTATCTCTTATCTGCCATACACATTCAGCAACTAACGAAACAAAGTTGTCGTAGGTCTTAAACTCCTCCGATTTATATATGTCAGAAACATTCTTATATAACATGTCGCAATCTTTGTCCATGACTTTGTGGTTGCAATGAAATCCAAGAAACTCATAGTTAACCTTACGTATGAACTTCTTTATTTCTACTGAGTCGGTTGGTCTGACTTCAATTTCATCGAATTCTGGAATAGTGAGCTTTTGTTGTTGGATTTCAGGAAGTTTAGGTAGATGGTCGATGAGGTCCTGCATTTCATAAAGATATTCTTCATTTGTTTCATCTTTCGCAGTGCAATCTAAATCTCCTTGGAGAAGTTCTTGCTTTATCTTCTGGATTTCTGTTTCGAAAGTATATGAAGAAGGAATGAAGCTTTTCATCTCTACTAACATTGAAGTTGGGTTCATAACTAAAGAGTTTGGTGCTGTTGTTGCTAACATGTTCTTACAATAAAAATAAAAAATATTTTTTTAAAAAAACTAACTTTATTTTTTATTTCGGGAAAATTCATGAAAATTCAAGAGGGTAGAAAACAGGTTAGAAAACAGGTTAGATCTAACCTTCTACCCTAAATTATATTTTTGGGTCCTTTACGCTCATTACGATGAAGAAGTCTTGACAAAACATTTACGAAGAAGTCTTGACAAATTCAAGAGGGTAGAAATGAGGTTAGAAAACAGGTTAGATCTAACCTTCTACCCTAAATTATATTTTTGGGTCCTTTACGCTCATTACGATGAAGAAGTCTTGACAAAACATTTACGAAGAAGTCTTGACAAAACATTTACGAAGAAGTCTTGACAAAACATTTACGAAGAAGTCATGACAAAACATTTACGAAGAAGTCTTGACAAAACATTTACGAAGAAGTCATGACAAATTCAAGAGGGTAGAAAACAGGTTAGATCTAACCTTCTACCCTAAATTATATTTTTGGGTCCTTTACGCTCATTACGATGAAGAAGTCTTGACAAAACATTTACGAAGAAGTCTTGACAAAACATTTACGAAGAAGTCTTGACAAAACATGTACGAAGAAGTCTTGACAAAACATGTACGAAGAAGTCTTGACAAAACATTTACGAAGAAGTCTTGACAAAACATGTACGATGAAATCATGAAAATTCATGAGGTGAGAAAAGAGGTGAGAAAAGAGGTGAGATCTAACCTTCTACCCTAAATTATATTTTTGGGTCCTTTACACTCATTACGAAGAAGTCTTGACAAAACATGTACGAAGAAGTCTTGACAAAACATTTACGTTCATGTTTGACAAAACATTTACGATGAAATCATGAAAATTCAAGAGGTGAGAAAAGAGGTGAAAAAAGAGGTGAGATCTCACCACTTCACCTAAAATATATTTTTGTCTGATTTACGCTCATTACGATGAAGAAGTCTTGACAAAACATTTACGAAGAAGTCTTGACAAAACATTTACGAAGAAGTCTTGACAAAACATGTACGATGAAATCATGAAAATTCAAGAGGGTGAGAAAACAGGTGAAAAAACGGGTGAGATCTCACCTCTTCACCTAAATTATATTTTTTGGTGTAAATTTCATTGACTGACTGACTGACTGACGGCACAAAGTGGCTTAGCGAAAACATTAATATATAAAATTCATGATTTTCGAGAGTTTTAGACCATGTTAGAAAAGTGGTTAGAAAACGTGTTAGATCTAACATGCTACCCTAAAAGTATTTTTCAATACTTTTTCAGCACTTTTCCGTAGTTATATATGAAAGACAATTCGAGATAAAAGTCATAGTACAATGGAATAATATGTTGCACACCATTTGTTGTGAACCAAACTTGAAAGTCAGAGAAACTGTTACTAGGTGGTTCGTAGAATTTAGAAGCAAAGTCATAAACGTCCTTACCAATACATAGAAAACTATTGTTGCTTGAACTGAAACTTGCATGACACATAACATTTTGAGGGTCAAACACGTTTCTATAAACTGTCAAATCTGCTGGTGGAAGTATAAATTTAAATGGACCATCTGGTGGTAATGGTTCGTTCTGGTTTAGTAACCGAAGAAATTGTGCCCAAGAACGTTTGTCTACTTTCCAAAATAAAAACTCTGTATCTCTTGGAGGGTTAATTTCAATCTTTTGAAATGAAACGGTGGAGTTCATCTTGTCATATTCTAGTTTCAGATAGTATGTTCCATTTAGTAAAGAGTCGTATTTTTCTTGAAATTCCCAATAATATTTGTTCATTTGAGTTTGAAAGTCATTTAGAGTTTTCTCAAGACTTTCGTCTGAACGAACTGTAAAGATTCTCATTTCGTCAAATTTGTCTATTAGACCATCAGAACCTTTATACTGCCCATGAAAATATACTGCGAACATAAATGCGTTAGTTCTATTTGAAAACAAAACTCTTCTAAATCCTATTGCCTTTGCATCTGAAGGACTTTGAAGCCAACGAATTGGATAGTCAAACCTGTATGCTCGGGATGAAATTTCTTCATCTGAAATAGTCCTACCAGCATTTGTAAAGATATAGTCTAACGGTTTTGTATCTGCTACTTTTGTTCTTTGTTTTTCAACCTGAAGCATTTAATATATGTAAAAATATATTGTTTTAAAATGGTATGCCATTTCATATTTCTCATCTAACAAACAAGTTTCCCAACGGTCCAGCATGTTGTCTGACTGCTTGAGGGTTAGGTTGGTACCATTCGAACTTGACACTTGCAATTCCTTCAATTGCATTCAAAATGTCTGAGTCGGAGTCAACCATTTGTTCTCTCTTTGTAGTCTTGAAAGCGTCAAGAAGCATTGCAGCTGTTGTGACATTGCCATGTGCATAGTAAATGTGACCATCCAAATCTGTTATGGTCAATCTGAGATTGTGTCCTTTCTTATTTCCGTCTTGTATGGCAGCAAGTACACCCATGAAGCCTTCTTTGTTCTTTCCTTCGTCAAAGTTTACTGTAAAGGTTCGACCAGAAGTAATTTGACTTCTAACTTCACGGTACTTCTCATATGCATATCTTGTTCTTTCCATGGGAGCATGTGCGTCTTCACCTTTTCCTTTTTTCCTTCTCAAAGGATGCAATTGTTCGTCATGTTTCCAATAGAATCTGGCAAAGCCGTCGTGTCCTTCAACTTGAGGTTCACTAACATCGAAAGGCATGTCCATAAGACGTTCTTCTTCTAACCTCTCTAGTCTGTTTGGATAATTTGCACGTGCTGTTTCCAAATCCATTTCGTAGCGAAGACCAGACAATTTGTCATAGACTTTTATGGGTCTTCCCTTCTTATATTTAAACTTCTTCGAAACTCTCCAACCATATCTTTGCAACTCTGCTTTTATTCTAGCAGATTTTCTATCCATTCTATATGGGGGCATTTTTATAAAATAAAAAAATATTTTTTTTCTTTACTTTACATAACCGCCTGCTGCCATAAGTCTTTGACGCCAACCCATACCAGCTAATGAAGGTTGACTTGGGTTTAGTTTCCAAACTAAACTTTGGTTTTGGTTTATCTTCAGTTTTTGGTTTTTCTTCTTCTATCGGTTTTTCGTCACTTTTCGGTTCCTCTGACTTTACTTCACTTGCAGGAACAGTTGTGTCGTCAACATCTTCATAAATATCATATGCCATTTGTTTTTGTTTTCCTTTCAACTTTTTGTGTTTGTTGTAAAGTTTAGAATATTTCGACTCTAAGTCAATGAGATGTTCTATAATGAACTGTTGGTCAGTGAAGTAAACTTTCCATCTGTTGTCTCGAAAGCTCCTTCAGACTTCAATATTTTATTTGTGAGAGTCTGTTTCTTTTTTGAGATACTAGCCGTTCCATTTTTATGAAAAGTGACTTTATAGTTAGGGTTTGTATTTCCAGACCTGGCACTTTCTATTATTGAATTTTTCTCTTCATCTGTAAGTTCTTTGACAGGTTTTGACAATGGTTCTGAACTTTTTGTTTGTGGTGTCAAATCTACCGTTTCAACTTCTTCGGTCATTTCATCTCAGTAAAAAATTTTAGTTTGGTTTGTTTTCAACTGGTTGTTGTTGTTTTTTAAGTCGGTCTAAAACTTCCTGAGGTATAGGAAGAACTTGACAAACACGTGGTGTAACTGCTGGAAGCCGACAAATCCATCTTGAACCCATTTGTCTCAATGCTGTATTGTTCATTTCATCTCAATAAAAAACTTTACATTCCCCAAGTTTGAGGTGGTTGCGGTTGGTTATTGTTTACCCACTGTTGTGCATGGTTATATCCTCTGTTAAAGAATCTTTCACCTTGGTCCATATAGTGTCCTGCTTGGTTATAGTAGTCATTTGCTTTGTTATAATAGTTTCCTGCTTGTCTTCCTACATTGTCCATCCATCCTTGAACTTTTCCTCTTGTTTCAGGATTTGGAATAAGATTTGTTGCATCTCGTGCTACATCCCAACCTTTCTGTACAGTTTGTATAATAGGTTGTGCTTTCTCTTTCAGTATACCTAATGTACTCAAAATCTTCCTTCCAACTCCAAATACACCTCTGGCTATTGTTCCCACTGCGGGTAAAATCTAGATGCGACTCCTGCTAATGCGCCAAATAAACCATTTCTTATGGGTTAAAAAATGACGAATCCAAACAAGGACCCCTATGTTTCTAAGGCAACAAAAAAGCACTCATGATAAAAATCTTTAGTTCAACACCAAATGCTTGGTTTATGGATATCTTGGAAAACATTCCGAGAGTTAGAACAGATGGACCTCCATACTGGCTAATATTTGTTGGTCAAAACACAAGATACTGTGAAGCCATACCATTATGGTCCAAAAATATTTTAGATGTGAAAACTGCTTTGACAATATTCGTTGACAAATACCATCCAACAAAACTGACATCTGACTGTGAAAGTTCTTTCAAATCAGACGATATTAAAAACTATCTGCGTTCAAAAATGTAAACCAATATTTCATTGTCGACCAAAACCATTCTGCTCTTGGTGTCATTGACGGTTGTATAAAATGTTAAGAGACTTAAACCAACCACAAGGTGGTGAAGCAAATGAAATGTCATATGACGACAAATATAGACACTTCTCCATGGCAAAGATGAGACAAGTTTTAAATATTTACAATAGCCGTAAACAAAAAGGTTTGGGAAACCACTCCCCGAAGAAATGAAAAACAACCCTGACTTAGAGAAAGACTATATATTTAATAATTTAGTCAAAAGAGACAAACAAGAAAGAATGCCGGGCTTCAAACTTCAGAAAGGTGACAAAGTAAAAATAGAAATACCTAAACGCGACCCATATGAAAATACTATTGACTATGACAACAATGGGAACCCGACAGGTACTCAATTCGTGTTCGTAAAAATAGAAGAAAGTATACAAGAGAATATTATGAAGTTTTAGGCAAACATGGCAAAATGTACAGACTGCAAGCAGAAGATAAAACTACTATTGTCAGACCTCGTTTCAAACTTGTCAAAGTTCAAGGTGGTATACTTTCAAAGACAGTTCCTAACCAATATAAGACAACTCCTGACGAATATGCTAAAGAAGTGGAACATGACGACTAAGCATTTCTATACCATGCGTAAACTGTCATGTAAGGTGGCATGTAGTCTTTACTTTGTCCCGTTGTTTGCGTATACCCTGAAACGCGATGTGTATGGTTTCCTCCTCCTCAGTGTTACTCCAGTAACAATTTATAGCAAACTTAACGTTGTCTTTAACATCATATCCTTTACCTTTTGTCATTGCTGACCAATCCCAAAATTTATGCTTATGCCAACCTGCTTGAGATGTACTTAAATCTATGTAGTGACTGTGTGCAGGTAAATTTTCACCTGAAATCGTTTTACTTCCACCTGTTTCCTTTGAAGAGTTTGCACAATACAAAAACCTGTCGACTATTTGAGTCCAAGTTCCAAAACCTAAAACTGTTTCTGGTCTGGTAGAGTTCATTGACGTATAAATAGAGCCTATAGGATATAATGTTTGAAGTATTTCTGTCTTTAATGTTTGAAGCTCTGTTTTGTCTGCTTTCTTATCTAACATTGCGGGTAGTTCATGTGCTTCAAAGTTTCTGGCATGACTTTCAATGTTCCTGCAACTGTTATCTAAACTGTTTAGTGTATCTTTTACGCTTGTACTCGGATTTTCTAATGGTGCACTTGAACCAAGGTCAAAGTTCAATATTATGTCGTCTGCTGTAAAAGTTGTAAAACTTGTATGTGTATGAGTCTTATTTGCTTTCTTCTCTAACTCATCGTTAACATAAGTTTTATCTGCTTTAAGGTCTAAACATCCTGAAACCCATCCTGTATCGGCTTTAGTTTTGAAAATCTTCGATGTCCATTCATGGTACCAGTCAACCCTTTCTTTCATTTCGTTATCTTTTTCATCCACATATTCCTTATCTGCTTTCTTCTCTAACTTACTAGCCACATATTCCTTATCCGCTTTCTTTTCAAGGCTAACGTTTAAGTCTGTTATTTCAGATATAGAATGTGTATGAGTCTTTTTAGAATATTCGTTTTCAGCTCTTGTCACTTCACTTGACATTTTATTGTCAACATATGTTTTGTCTGCTAGTTCAGGATGAGTATGTTCTTTTGTTGCATAAGCATTGTTAGCTCTTTCTTCTTCTTTTGCTATTGCATTGTCTACATATTCTTTGTCAGCTTTGTTGTCAACATCTGCTTTCAAAAGAAGTTCATTTATAGGTTTCTCGTTTAAAGTTCCTTTTGTTGGATTTATACAGACAGTATTGTTCTTCTTGTCTTGAAATAGAAACTCATCTGTCATTGGGTTTAATGTCAGTTTTAAGTTTCCTTCTTTCAATGACTCAGATATCTTAGAATAGTTTGAAAAGTTTGTTGTGTTCTTATTTAGAGCTTGTATAATGAGTTGTCGGTTGTGTTGTATTTCTCTCATAGACGCTGTTTCATTTGACATTTTTATTCTAGATAAAATATGCTTTCAATAGAAAAAGAAAATTCTAGAGTTGCTACAACTAAACCATTAGATGAACTTTTTACGAATGTCGGTCAAAAGTTTGAGACAGAGACCGTAAAGCATGAAGGCTATCGTTTTGACTACCCGTTAAGATGGTTAAGAGACCCATCCGTCACAAAAGCTATTGGCTTTCGTAGAATGAAGTTCATTTCAGAAGCCATACATGGTTTCCCATTTACAGTCGGTTTTGAAGTTCGATACTATAACAAAGAAAAACGTATGTATGAGAAATTTGAACAGGGAAAACTTTTACAAGTTAGTTTGCTTGTAAATTTAGAAACAACTCTTCAAGCTTTTCAAGAAAAAATAAACGATATCTATATCGAATATGCAAACCAGTATAACATTGACGAAGGAGAATACCATCTTGATATTATTTATGACAGGAAAAATGCAACTGTTAAAATCAATAAAATAGAAGACCTTGGAGAAAACGTTTATATTTCTACAAAATATAACAACTTGGCATGGTATAGATTTATGAGGATGTTAAATCAGCCTGCAGAATATCCAGTACACCCGGACTTTTATGAAGTCGAAAACCCTAATGGAACATATGAAAATGTTTTCGACTCAGATGCTATTATCGTTCATGCTTCATTTTCTGGTGCGCAAAACTCTTTTTTATGCTTGGCAAATGACTTTTACGAAAAACCTACAAAGCTATATGAACCGCCGAGTGGAAGTATTTCAGACTTTCAAGTATGGTTTACAACAGATGGAAGAAAGAGAATAATTCCATTATACCATGCGTTTTACTTAGAACTTAGTTTCATATACAACTACTATCGAACGGTAAAAATATAATTTTTTAATACGGTTGAGGTGTTGGATTTGGTTGCCAACTTGACTGTGGTGCAGGTTCAGGCTGTTGTATTACAGGAGCTTGTTCTTCTGGTTCAGGGTCTTTAGGTATAATACCAACGAACTGACCTACTCTTTTACCAATATTTTTGACACCGTTCCAAATTCCTCTTCCTACGGTTTTTATTCCATTCCATATACCTCTTCCAACTCTTCTGAAGAAGTTTCCAATACTACTGAAGAAACCCATTTTACTATATGTAAAAATCTAATGTCCACCTAGTCTCTTACGTTTCCTGTTGAGTTCCATAGCATTCTTTAACTGGAGCTCATACATTCTGTTTCTCCTCTGGTAGAAAACATATTCTGGGTCAACTCCTGTGTTCGCGTCATCTGCATAAAGTTGTTTATATCCCACTTCAGGGTTTGTATAAAACTCTTTCCATCTCATATTTGCATACCATGGTGGCAAACCTAACGCAGCGTCATTTGACATGGCAGTTTGCATTTGTACATCTGTTGGCACTTGACCATAGTTTGCCATTGCAGTTTGTATTCTAACTTCATTTGGAATATTCTCTGGGTTTGGTTGTCCAGGTTGCTGTGCATTCGCTAAGTTCTGTGCGTCCATTTAATATTAGATAAAAATATCTCTTACGAGTACATATGCTGAACATTTGCAGGCATTGGTTCATCTTCATATTCTCTGTACTTTTCTGCCACGTCAAATAAATAAATGACACAATGGAAAAAACCTAAAACAAGTAGTCCTATTTCAAACCACATTTACTTACTAGTAAAATTTCTTTGTTATGACACTTTCTCCGGTTTATAGGACCTCTCTCATATTCTATCTTGTCATATTTAAACGCATAGTCATGTATGTCCTCTAACCATCTCATAACGGTTTCCAAACCACTTTTATCGGATGTAAAGTAAAAGCATGGATGGTTATGTATAACGTCTAAAGTTTCTAAAGAGTCTCTCAAAGTCCAGTCTACTTGGTATTGAAAATCCCATGTGTTATAGAACGGCGGGTCCACTATAAAGAAAACATTTTCCTTGTCTTTATATTTTTCATACAACTCTGTCCAACGACATCTCACAAACTCTATACCCTCAATATATTTTTCTATGTCCTCTTTGAAAACATTTGTATAGTTAAGATATAAAACGTTTGACATAAGTGTTTCAATGTCATGAACTCTTATAGAACCACTATATAATAGTCTAGCAGATATACTATCCCAGTCTATATATTCTGCTTTTTTCAAAACCTCTCTCACAATATTTTTGTTATCTAATGGTATACGTTCCATCTTACCTATAGGTATCTTTTCTTTTAACGCTTTCAATATATTGTTTGTGTCTGGTATATGTTTGAGACGGTCCATATAGTTGTCGAAGTCATTGCATATAATCTTTGAGTCTGGGAATATTGTATGACATAAATGGGATATATAGAAACTTCCACCGAACAAATCTACAAATGTTAGACCATTCGGTAGTTTCTTAAGTTCTCTCAATATAATATCTTTACATTTACTCTTATTTCCAAAGAACGGTAACGGTGGTTTTGTAAAATTCATTTATATATAATAATAAAAATGTTTTTTCCTGAAAAGTGACAGAAAAGTGACAAAACATGAAAACATATATAATTTGTGAAAAGCTCCTGGAAGCCCTCCGAATAAAAACTTCATTTATACTAAACATCTTCAGGGCTAGAGGGCACGAAGTGCCTGGAAGCCCCACTACCTTTTTTTAACCTTATTTCTTTCCCAATTCCTGATTTATTTTATTCACTTACTATTAAAAGTCACATTTTAATAAAATATAATAATTTATTTATAGCATTTTTTACTATACTGTAATAAAAAATTAATTATAATAAATTAAATGTTTATTAAATCAAATGTTTTCTTTGCAATAATATTTTTAATGTTGAGTAAACAATGTTGGGATCAAGTGTATCATTTTTCAGACCTTTCTGAACAGCTTCAAGCATACTGATGCATTCGACTTTTTTAAATTGTGTCATTTCTTCGAAATCTCTTGTGACTTTTTTGATAACTTTAACACTTCTCTCTGAATCCAGACCTTTAATTTGCAACTTAATCAGGAATGAAGGAACAACACTGGAATATAACTCGATGACAAGTTCATCGAGTCGAAGATTTCGCCTTTCTGGGAAGTACTGGTGCTTCAAAACCTTGAAATGTGATTCCGAGATGTTGTTTGTTCCATCTCCTTCATTTCTATAGCGAAGCATCCACCTGTCAAGATGATGGCGCCACTGTCGGTCAAAGTATTCACGGGCAGCAGGTTCCTCATTTAAAATTTCTTCTAAATTGTTGTAAACTTCATCAGGATCAATTTCTTCCTCTTCAGAACCAAAGACCAATAACTTCATTAAGTTATAGAAAGTTTCGAAGTTGGAACGATCTTGAAACTTTTCAGCCTTTCTCATGACAGCGCGCAACACATGAACGCCACACCAAATGATCTGGCATAAGGGGATGGCTGTTTCAACAGCATTTGTGATTTGAGGTGCGCAGTCCATTGAAAAATAAGATGGTTCGCGATTGATGGAGCCAAAATATGCTGTGAGACAAACTTGTATATTTTCACTTGTGTCGGGCCAAACAAAAAAATACAAAAACGGAAAAACAATTGATTCCGCGAATTTGCCAGTGACGGCATAAAATGGTATGCGAGAGCGCAAGAGCTTATAAGTGGAATCAATGTGATACGTTTGTATTTGATGTGAAAAAGCATTTGCTTCGAATGGGGTGTAATAGAAAATCATACGATCTGGCTCGTGAATAAACTCGATGAGATCATCTGGAGAATGACTCTTAACCATGTCGACAAAAATTGCAAGAGATATAACATCATCCGCTGAGAAACGGGTATTGATTGCATGAAGGCGTTTAGAAAACTTTTTTAAAGCATCTGTAGATTGTTGAAACATTTCCGGAATGATCCCACTATCAAATGGGATATTAAAATCTTTGAAACACCTTAATTGTGCGTAAACACGGTCTTGATTTGATTCAAAATATCTTGTTAAATAAGATCTAGAAAAATATGATGTAATTTGTTGTGATTTGTTTGGAAAAGGGGCAGAATGATTGTGGGTGTTAATACATTTTCGTATGTGGTACTTGTCATCGGGAAGTGTATCAACAAGGAAGCGACATGGACAATTCGGCCACTTACAATTAAATTGGATTTGATTTCTTTCTTTCCTAGTTTTATATGAATAACTACAACCTGCTTGTATTTCTTGTTGCACTCCATACTTAAGCAACTCGATATATGTGAGTTCGTGATCTTGGATCTGCATTAAAATGAAATGATTTGAAAGAATAAAGAATTTTGAATATATTGGTCTTATTTTGATAAGCTTGGTCGTGTTTTGAATAGCTTGGCCATCTAATTCAATTATGATCTTTGAAAATTAGGTGAAATAAAACTAAACATAAATGTAAAACTAGGGATATGAAATTTTGGTTGTACACCACTTGTATGTGCCGGATACCATTGTGTCAATTTTTTTCTGAAATTAACTTTAAAAGTACTAAGTAAGATCATGAGATATAGCAATATATGTTTAAACCAACTTGTATTTTGGTTGTACACCACTTGTATGTGCCGGATACCATTGTGTCAATTTTTTTCTGAAATTAACTTTAAAAGTACTAAGTAAGATCATGAGATATAGCAATATATGTTTAAACCAACTTGTATTTTGGTTGTACACCACTTGTATGTGCCGGATACCATTGTGTCAATTTTTTTCTGAAATTAACTTTAAAAGTACTAAGTAAGATCATGAGATATAGCAATATATGTTTAAACCAACTTGTATTTTGGTTGTACACCACTTGTATGTGCCGGATACCATTGTGTCAATTTTTTTCTGAAATTAACTTTAAAAGTACTAAGTAAGATCATGAGATATAGCAATATATGTTTAAACCAACTTGTATTTTGGTTGTACACCACTTGTATGTGCCGGATACCATTGTGTCAATTTTTTTCTGAAATTAACTTTAAAAGTACTAAGTAAGATCATGAGATATAGCAATATATGTTTAAACCAACTTGTATTTTGGTTGTACACCACTTGTATGTGCCGGATACCATTGTGTCAATTTTTTTCTGAAATTAACTTTAAAAGTACTAAGTAAGATCATGAGATATAGCAATATATGTTTAAACCAACTTATATTTTGGTTGTACACCACTTGTATGTGCCGGATACCATTGTGTCAATTTTTTTCTGAAATTAACTTTAAAAGTACTAAGTAAGATCATGAGATATAGCAATATATGTTTAAACCAACTTGTATTTTGGTTGTACACCACTTGTATGTGCCGGATACCATTGTGTCAATTTTTTTCTGAAATTAACTTTAAAAGTACTAAGTAAGATCATGAGATATAGCAATATATGTTTAAACCAACTTGTATTTTGGTTGTACACCACTTGTATGTGCCGGATACCATTGTGTCAATTTTTTTCTGAAATTAACTTTAAAAGTACTAAGTAAGATCATTTATTTTTGCATAATATAATGCCAATATGGTTTCTTTTGATTTTATTTCATTTATAAGCAAATCAGATTTACCCAAAAACTCCACTCCATAAGCGTTCATTTGCTAAATTAAAAAGTGACAATGGGCTAGTCTGTCCCTTTCTCGTGATATTTACATCACATTTTTAAGAGGTTTATGGGCGTCCTAAGGGAAAATTGAATAGCTAGGGCGTCCCGAATTTTCATTCTAAGATTTAAATATATAGGGTGTCCAAAGGTGCGTTTAGCACAGCGCTCTATATGAGACTATTAAAGGAGATATATGCTGATTATAAATATATAATAAAAAATATGAATATATGTATATGATGAGTATGTTGTATTTTGGCGCCATGCCGGGATATAAAATGAATTTTGAGACAAGAGGCGGTTTCGCAGGAAATTTTGGCGGGATTTTTTTCATTTTTTTAATGAATCATAAAGAAAACATCCTCGCTCTTGCAAAAAAATGCAAAGACTGTAAAAAATCTACGAGACATTGGTAAAATGCTTCGGTATGGATGCTCCTAGCTATTCCACTGTAACGTATCATGTTAGGATGTATCACTTCATGAACAAAAAGGCGCCCATCATAAAAATTGACAAAAAATCGCCGGATCAAAGAAAAATCAAAGCAATTCTTCAAGCGCTAGATGAAGACCCAAGAGCATCACTCAGAAGGATAGAGGAGATGACAAAGATACCACGTACAACAGTCAGTTATTATCTGCACAATTATTTGAACTACAAACTAGCGTATACACGTTGGGTTCCGCACAACCTTAATTCAGTTCAAAAAAAATCTAGAGTCCAATCTTCGAAAGAGCTCCTCTCTATATTGGGTGCGTATCAATCCAAGAAGTTTCGCTTTTTAGTAACAGGGGACGAGTCTTGGTTTCAATATGCAACAGAAGCCAAAATCATGTGGATCCCGAAGGATGAAAATCCGCAAACATTCCCGAAGAAAAAAATTGACACACTAATGATGATGTTGTCGGTTTTTTGGGGCGTGAATGGCATCATCGCAATTGATATTCTTCAAAAACCTAATACGATGAATGCTCAGTATCTAATTGACAATGTTCTTACTCAAATTATCAATTCTGATGAGTTTGAGAAATCCAAACAACAAAAACAAAAGTTTGCAATTCATTTTGATAATTCAAGAGTTCACAAAAGTCATAAGGTAATGAATTACTTGGTGGAAAACAATGTCAAAGTTGTTCCAAACCCAATTTATTCACCTGATATTGCACCCTCTGACTTTTATTTATTCGGCACGCTAAAAAAGAGAGCTGAAGGACGCGAATTCGCGAGTCCAGATGATCTTGAAAATTTTGTAAGAGAGCAATTTGAGCAATTTTCTCATGATGATTTAAAGCGTGTCTTTCAAGCCTGGATCGATCGCTGCGAACGCGTGATTGAATCCAATGGTGATTATATTTAAATAAACTTTATATATATGTAACTTGTTTATTTCTATTCGCAGTATTCAGGTTTGTGCTAAACACACCTTTGGACACCCTATATTATAAAAAAAAGGTAGTGGGGCTTCCAGACGCGTTGCGCCCTCTAGCTCCGAAGATGTTTAGTATAAATGAAGTTTTTATTCGGAGGGCTTCCAGGCGCGTTGCGCCCTCTAGCCCCGAAGATGTTTAGTATAAATGAAGTTTTTATTCGGAAAATTGTTAGTCTTCTGGTGTGAATTCGGAGGGCTTCCAGGCGCGTTGCGCCCTCTAGCCCATAAGAAATTTTGCCCAAGACCCAAGAGGAGGACCGAACCCCAGCCGACCAGCCGGTGAGAAAACCAAAACCGTTGTTATTTACATTATATAATGTGTCACTTTTCACAAATTATATATGTTTTCATGTTTTGTCACTTTTCTGTCACTTTTCGGGTAAAAACATTTTTATTATTATATATAAATGAATTTTACAAAACCGCTGTTACCGTTCTTTGGAAATAAGAGTAGATGTAAAGATATTATATTGAGGTGAGTGGGGCTTTGGCTTTGGTTAGCGGTTGAGAATTGTTAATGTTTGAATTGTGGTTAACAGCGTTGGCTTCCATTAGATAAAAATGAACTGACCAAAAAAGACAGATATTTAAATATTTGAGATGAACCGTTTTCGTCAACGGTAACACCCTCTATTTTTTATTTTATTTAATAGTTACCGTTGGAAAAACGGTTTATCTCAAATATTGAATGAACTATAAACGTTTTTTGTTTTCTATATATACTTTTTTGTCCAACGGTAAAATTTTTTACACAACGGTTTTTGAGAGTCGTCGCCGTTGACTTTTTTGTAGAGCACTCAAAATAGTATAACTTTGTCCGGACAAGTAAGGGTCTATCGTCGCTACAAGAAAAGTTACAGGCGTTCCAAGGAAGTATACTTTGAGAAGCCTTTTCCCCCTTATAGAATGAGATAAGACGATTATTTTACAAAACTGACAACACTTTGACTGAGTAGTTTTTTGTGCTGAACAAAAAGTGTCATATAAACATCTGTCAAAAACCACTTTTTAACTTCACTTAAAATGCCACGTAAGCTACGTAAGAATATACGTAAGAGGAAGGGAGCATTGAAACATCCAATAGTAAAACTGACACCACAACAACAGTTGCAACAACAAATGATGAATGACCCCACTATGTTGCAACAAATGTCAAGCAATCCTATGCTTTTAAACCGAGTTATTGGTGCACAGAGTGGAGGTTTAAGAGCGGCACTTTTAGCGAAAATGGCAGGCTATGGTGGAGCTGCAGACGGAACAGCTTATAACCCTCAAAGTCAAATGAATTTGAGTTCACTCAAAAATCAAATAACAGATGTCAAAAAGTCAAACATAGACATACAGAAACAAATAAGTGAAAACGAAAAGAAACTAGAATATGACAGACACACAAAGAAACTCAATGAGTTAAACGTAGAGAAAAAGAAGAAAGAAGAACAACTGAAAGAACTAAGTACAGAGAAATATGCGAAAAAAGTGTCAGAAAAAGCAGCAGAAGTAGCAAAAATGGAACAAGATGTTATAAATTTGAAAAACCCATACTACTCAATATAAAGTACTGAAAGATGAAGAAATAAAACAAAAAGCCCTGAAGACATATATGGATAGCGATGAGTATAAAAAAGAAGTTGAAGCAAATGTAAAGGCAGAAAAACTTTTACAGTTGCAAAAACCAAACCGTACGTATGAAAACTTAGCACAAGAAAGTAAAAATAACGACGCAGCTATGCAAAAGGCAATGAAAAGCGCAAGATATATAAAAGCTAATAATGACTGGTTAGATGCCCAAGCCAACGCTAAAGCAGCCCACAATTATAGGGTCAATAAGGACAAAAATACAAGCGGATGAAGACAGTTCAAATGAAGCTTTAATGAATGCTGACTTTAAGAACGCCTTCGAAGCTCTTCATAGTAAGGTGAAACTAGTGAACGACTTCTCATCTGGAAAGAAACTGAAGTCTGAAGGTTTCGACAAAGAGTTAAGAGAAGTAGCACAAAATATGACGAAAATAACAGATGCAGCAACGAGACAGGCAGCTCAAAGTGCCTATGACGCCGTTAGAGCAGCTGTTGTGGAAAGTCAAGAAAAAGAGTTACAACAGACCAAAACAGACCTAGTAAATGCTTTCTTAAAAATGAAAAGTCAGGTAGGACATTATGCTGCAGATGGAACATATGTGCCAGCTGGTGGAACTTATATACCACCAAACCCTCCAAGAGAAGCACCTGCACCAGGACTACCTAAAACATTTACATCGTCACATGGACACAGACACAGGCATGCACCAAAACCAACACAACAACCAACAGTTCAAAATCCAGCACCACAACAACAACCAAAACCAACAGTTCAAAACCCTGCACAGCAACCAATAGTTCAAAATCCAGCACAGCAACAACAACCAACACAGCAACCAACAGTTCAAAATCCAGCACAACAACCAACAGTTCAAAACCCTGCACAACAACAACCACAAACAGAGCAAGGACATAAAAGAAGTAGAGAACAAGGAAACCAAGAATTCTTAAAAATGCTTAAGGAAGATTATGGTTACCCAGCTACTCTTGACTTTAGTGACAGATATAAAGAAGCTATTAGAAAGTTCAAGGAAGGAAATACTGACCCGAACCTATTTAGCTTTATGGTTCAGCATAAAATCGGATATAATCTCAAACATGGAAAATACAAGCTCGCAAAGGGATATGATTTAATAGCATATCATCCAAATGACATGGATGAATTTACTCCGAGATATTTGATGTCAGAGCTAAATGATAATTCAACTCTCTTCATGAAACGCGTAAAAAATAGAGACGGAACGAAAGAAGAAAGGCTTATGAGTCCGGATGACTTAGATAGGGAACTTGTTAAAAACGGTCTCGGAATATATGAAATGCCAGCAGATGAGGTACAAGAAACTCCACAGGAAGAAGTTCAGATACAACCAGACATGGAAGAAATAGTTCAGCAACAACAGCTAGAAGAGCCAGAAGGAAACGAACAAGTCCCTCCTTTGGAAACTAACTTCACAGAACTAGATGAAGATTTGGAACAGCCGAAAATCTTGACCCTCCAAACGTGTATGCGGAAGAATATGGAATCTTTCCAAGAGTCTAAGAAAAATTCGGCTGACATAGTAGAAGAATATCGAAAAATGTTCACCGACATACAAACGACTCCAACATTCAGATGAAAATATTTCAGCAATAGAATGGAAGTACTGAAAGAAAATGTACGCAAATACAATAATCCTTTTTACTTACGACCATATAACGTTCAATCTTTGGCTGAACTGGTGAAATAAAAGGTTAAATTTCAACAAAACATATAGAAATGAAACATTGTTTAAAGTTCATTCAGAACCTAACCAATATGGAAACAAACCTACTTTTGTTTCTGCAGACTATGGAACTACAATGAGATGTGGTCATAAAGCTAATCCGGATAGGTGGTTCATAAACTTACAACCTCAATTCCAAGAAGTTGTAGACGCAATGGAAGTGAATGGTGAACCAGATATAGCTGGTATTTTCAGCGCGGCTTTAATGCCATTGAAAGATATGAAAGATGCAGATAGTTTGGACCAGTATGAAATGAACATGGCTGAGGGAAATATAACACCTGACGTTCTAGAACATTTATCTCAAAAGAACTACACAGAACCATAGAGATGGTATATTTGGTGAAGAGTTTAGAAAGAAAGTTAGGGAGAGAGAAGGAAGAGAACCTATTGTACATGACCTTGCAAACGAAAGTTTAAAATGTCATAAAAACTTACTTTGCAGACAATGAACTGAGAAGGGATGAATATTTAAAAAACTCAAATGGACAGTACCAAATGAAATGTTAGTATTGAAAAACATGTTCCATGACAAAATAAAACCAACTACAGAAATAAATGACGCAAGACTGAAACGTTGGGTAAAAGCTTTCCCATTCACAAAAGATATTATTGGTTACATGGAAAGAAAACCAGAATGGCTACAAAACATATATTTGGAAACGAGCTTATTCCATATGGACAAGCTCTGTTTGAAGAGCTTGAACCGGAAACTCAGGAAAGAGTCATGCAAACAATACGCGAAGACTCAAATACAAACTATGACAAAATCTTTCTAGGATATAGGTTACCTGAGATGGGCGACCAGAGCCCAAAGGCAAAAAGGACATGGGAAATTTACAACATACTAGGTGAACATGAGGCAAAGATGCTACAACTTGAAGCAGAGGGCAAGTTACCAAAAGCTACACCAAAGAAGAAGAGAAGAGTAGAACAAAGTGAAAGTAGTGAAGAAGTAACTTCATCTAGTGAAAGTAGTGGCAATGAAGGAAAAAGAAGAGTTAAAGATTCAGTTAAAAACTCAGTCAGGAAGAAAGTAAAGCTTGGTCCGAGTGGGTTCTATTATGACATATAAATCCAACTATTCTATATTTTTACCCATATGAAATGTACGCCGCTCAGAATATAACGCCAACAGTTTTGGATGCCATGAACGGAAATGTTTCCGAATGGTATAACGAATGCGACAATGCCATTAGAAGGTCAGAAATAGTTCCTGGAACTTACGAATATACAACTGCTGTTTCTTATGGAAACGTAGGTGAGTTTGGAGAAGGTTCTTCAACAACAGTAGATATTGCTTGCGACAGGTTTCATATTATTTCTATTGACAACTCATTCTTATACGTGGAACAAGACATTGAAATAAAACCTTCTGCCAAGTTGTCTGACAAGAAAGGTTGCAATGGAATTTTCTATGTCGGATACCAATATGCTCCAGAAGTTTTCATGGGATATAAGATATATTCTAACTCTGACTTAGTTCAAACAGTAACATGGGCAAACTATGAATGGTTCGCTTTGAGAAACTCAGTACAACCACAAGCTAGAGAACAAACAGACCAGTATGCAACTATTGAGAAAATAAGAAGACTTGACCCTAACGTTCCAGGAGTTTATGTTAACCTTTCTGGTTCAGATGGAACTGCTGCCACTAAAGTAAAACTGAAACTTAGAGTTCCTTTGTCATCTTTCCTCATCTTCAGGTTTTTAAGATACTTGCCAAACTGGGCAGGAAAAATTTCTATCGAACTTACTCCAAGCAAAAATAACTTAGTCATTGCACCAACACAAGACCCATTCACTATTACAGACGTAAAGGGAACAAATCAAACGTCATTCGCCGAATTTTGCAAAGACAAAGTTGACTTAGACTTTGGTTTCTCAAACTTCAACAATGAAGTAAACTATTATTTCAATGCTGCTGGAACTGCTTGGGACCCAGTTAAGTTCACATGCGAAAAATTTGAATGCAAGAGAATAGAAAGCAGACTTGCCGTCTATATGTTGGACCCAGATATTTCAAATGCTTTAGCTGCCAAATATATTGCAGTTCCACTTATGTTCCCTATACACCAAAATATCTGTCAAAGACTTTGCAGGTGAAGTTGGAAACCAAAGTGCTGACCCAGGTGCAAGAACAGATATTGCTTTAACACTGCAATGAAACATGCAGATACTATGTTTGTACTGTTCAGACGAACTATAAATGACTATTCTTGTTTCTACAACCCTGGTATTAAATATCATATAAACATAGATGGCAAATATTATCCAAGAGAAGAATATTCTACAGTTGAGGATATGAGGTCATACAACTTGACATTAGATGCTATGAACTTTAACAACAACTTCACAACAACCATTAACCCTGAAATGCAAAGTTCTATTATGCCATATGTGAAAGTATGGACTCATACAGGAGGTCAAAAAACTCAATATACAAATGGAGACCGTTCAAACTTTTGGCTTGGCATTCCATTTGCTGACTCAGAAGACTTTATGGTGGTATTTCAACTGTTGGTACTGTACAAATACAATATACTGGTGACAGAGACGGTCCAGATGAATTGAGAGCAAAGAAGTTTACAAAACCAATAGCACTTTTCACGGAAGATGCTCTTTTGAAGATTCGTTCGATGAAACCTGCTGGGGCTCCTCAGATTGGCATAACGACAGCTTCCATCGAGCAGATTTTGGCAGCAGGTCAGTAAGTTGTTCTTGAACTGACTTCTCTCCGTCAAATATTGACAGTACGCCAGTTTTGACATAATATTGTATTATAAAATTTCCTTTAGTAATATCGGTCAGTTTTGAAGTTATATTTTTGTCTGCTTCAAGAACTTTCACCATTTCAGTTATACCAACTTTCTTTGCTTTATGAAAATATTTTGGTTCAGCAAATATTGCTATTCTATAACATTTTCCATTGTTTGTGTAAAGAACTATTCTGTCAATGTATTTGTATTGTTTGTGAGTATAAACTTTGTTCTGCTTCAATTCAATAAGATATCCGAATACGTCCATCTTTTTATTCTAAGTAAAATGTCATTTCCGAAAAATAGAAGCGTAAGTGTTTCAAAAGGTTTAATGGCGGTGGCAGATGTGAAGTTAAATTCACCAACTCAAACAAACAGTCAAAGTGTTATTGTCAATGTCAAAGACAGAGATGTTGAAGTGGGGAAACCATACGAAGACGAAGATGGTATAACAATTGTTCCTGTAAAAGAACCAACATATCCTGAAGTTAACAGAGACTTAAGTTCTGTTGCAGATATTCGAAACGACTACCAACAACTGAAAGACAAACTTAAAACTCAGGAGAAGATTTGTCAAGCTTTAAGTATAATGTTAAACTTGGTCGAACACAACCCTGTAAAAGTGAACTCATATGTCATTGCACCTCATGAAGTTTTGAAAGAACTATTGAAACTTTTGACAGAGGCAGACGATATAAACATCAAAGAAATAGAACCCGACATTGGTTGCTGTGGTGTTTCATATAATGTCATTGACAAGATATACGTTATGAAAGGAGGTAGGGTTGTACAAACTGGCACAATTTTGCGGGCCGCGTGCCAGCTCCTGGCAGGCGGCCAAAATCAAAAAAGTGGCCAAAAATCGGGCCTCGTGGCGTGGAAAGGATGTCGCCCTTCGGGCTCCACCCTTTCCACGCCACTCGGCCTATGACCACAATTATATAATATGCTCATTATTATTTTTTCTTCTTTTTTCTTCTTTTTTTCTTTTTCTCTTTTCTTTCTTCTTTTTCCCTTTTCTTCCTTTTTTTCTAGTTTTGGAAAGGAAAAAGTAAAAAATTTAATAATTAATTTTATTACTATGAAAATATACTTTTTAGCTTATATTGTAAGCTGTGAGAGTTTTAAGTGATGGAAGATATAAATCAAATTTGAAATTCAACAAATCTTGTTATGATTAAGTTGAATATTGTACTCTAATTAAGAGTTTTCAGTTATGAACTCAGGTATTATATAATAAAAGTATAACTCAAGATAATAAAGAGGTTTTTAAAATGTAGATCTGAAAATCAAACTACCATGTTTGATATGATTAAGTTGAATAATGTTATTTTATTAAATGGTTCAAATCTGTGAAATCGGCAATTACAAATTAAAGGCGTAGTTCAAAAAATTAAAGAGATTTTAAAAATTTAATATCAGAATTAAACTAAAAAAAGGATTTAGTTATTTCAGTAATTATCAGAAAAGGTTAAAAAGATAGGGTAAGTAATGAGACTTGAGTGAGATGTGAGAAATCATATGTAAATAATTAGATATCTGATGAGTAAGGTAGTAATGAGAGTTAAGATCTGGTTAGTAAGGTAGTAATGAGAGTTAAGATCTGGTTAGTAAGGTAGTAATGAGAGTTAAGATCTGGTTAGTAAGGTAGTAATGAGAGTTAAGATCTGGTTAGTAAGGTAGTAATGAGAGTTAAGATCTGGTTAGTAAGGTAGTAATGAGAGTTAAGATCTGGTTAGTAAGGTAGTAATGAGAGTTAAGATCTGGTTAGTAAGGTAGTAATGAGAGTTAAGATCTGGTTAGTAAGGTAGTAATGAGAGTTAAGATCTGGTTAGTAAGGTAGTAATGAGAGTTAAGATCTGGTTAGTAAGGTAGTAATGAGAGATCTGCGGGCAGTAATGATACATCTATGAGTACATAACTAAAACCTGAGTTCTATGAGCGAAATCTGAGAGCTAAAAGCCGAGAGATCTAAGGTAAGTAATGAGAGAAGAGAATTTGAAATTTTACAAAATACGTTTACTCATACAAAATAATTCGCATTCTTTTATAACGAATCTCAATGCCAATTAATACATAAAACAGATTTTAGCAATCAATTGCAAGATTTAGAAAGATTTTATTTATAATCTCAGCCAAATTAACAAATATTTTATTGATTTCGTAAAAAATAGCAATAAAACATAAAAATATGACATTCTATTTTTCCAAAAAAATTTCAAAAATCATTTTTTAACATGAAATTTATATTTTTTGATTTTTTTTTGGAATTTTCAACCATGTCAAAAGTCGGGATCTACAAATGTATTCTCTTTGACATAGGATAAAAACATCCTTTCTTATAATTTCATTGTAAAATAAAATTTTCTTAAATTTATTGAATCCAAACTCAACTTTGCAACATTTTATTATCATAAAAACTAAGAAACATCAGGTAAACTTCAATTTGGAGAGCTTAAAATCATATCTAAATTGAAAAATAAGGGGAAAAAATTGTAAAAAAAATCTCATTAGATGGGGCAAAAAGTGACTTTTTTAATGTGTTTTTTTAAAAAATCGTGCCAGCTGGCCAAAAAAGGTGTGCCAGCAGGCGTGCCAGTTTGTACAACCCTAAAAGGAGGTGAAACGTTGAACTTAAAATATAGTTTCCCAGAGGTTATAAAAATATTTGACGACCACAACATTTCATTAAAATTTATTTGCTAAGTAAATGGCAGAAGACATAATGGTTTATACTATTACGACTAAAAACCCTGAGTCATATAATTCTATAACAACAAACTTACAAAGTCCTCAAGGACGATATTGTAAACTAACCTTAAACACAATGACGACTAAAGCCTGTTTTGCTCTTTTGACACCAGAAGACTTTATTGTTGTGAATGGTAAAAAATACTCCTTTGAAGATACTTACTCAGATATACCACCAACAGGTTTTGTTGACTTATTTAATACTTTAAGTACGGGTGTAACATGTGCTGCAACTAGAGCAGGTTTCATTATGTTTGGATGTCCGACTGAGTTTACTATTAATGATATGAGCTATAATACAAAACTTATATCTGGTTTTTACTACCAACAGTTTCCTATAACAGGAAAAGGTGTCATACAAGGTTTGTCTATTCCATTGACATTAAGCACACCAATCTTATATATTGTTTCAAACTTAGGTTCAAAGTGTTATTCGAATGTCGACAGAAACTATTATGACCAAAAGATACTTATGCGTATAAACAATACTTTCTCTGCTGGTTTGCCTATTGTTCATTCGAATGCAGAATTTTCAACCTTAGTGAACTCAAACACTTTGGCAAGTATAACGTTGACATTAGTTGACGCAAACTTTGTTCCTGTAAAACTTTTATGTCCTATGTATTTGTCAATGACGGCAGAAAGTTTCGAATTGGAAGATGCAACTGGTGAAAGTATTGTATTACAAGAACAACTTCAACAACAAATAGCTCAAGAACAACAAATGCAACAAATGGAACAACAAAGTCAAGAATAAAAAAATAATATTTTTTTTATTTTTATAAAAATGTACAGAATAGATGTTTCAGATTTTTATGACTTCCAAGCATTCAGAAATATGTGTCCATTTAGAGACTATAACAAAGCAGTCGAGAATTTGAAACGTTTAGTCATTTATGTTGACTCTGCCCCAGAATGTTATGTCATGAAAGAATGGGATGTTGTCTTTAACAAACCAAGAGCAACAATAGTGTCTGAACAAGAATGTAGACAGAAACTTAAGAAAATACAAGTTGTACAAGTTGGAATGAAGATGTTAGATGCTTGGGATATCTTATTGTCAAAGTTAGAAGATTTTTCAGTTCGAGGTATAAAGTTCTATACACCTTCTCCAAACTTCTATTCTATCTTCACTGGATATAAATACGAACAAGTAGAATGGAAACACAGTATTATAGAAGCTTGGTTAGACCATGTCAAAGAAATTATATGCAATGGAAACGAAAGAGTCTATGAGTATATCTTATGTTGGTTTGCAAATATCTTACAACATCCAAGTGCTAAAAATGAAACTGCTCTCATTATAATTGGAAAACAAGGAACTGGTAAGAATACTTTCATTACAGATATTTTGTGCAAACTGTTAGAAGGTTATTCGAATCCGAATATGACAAACTTAGAAAACATCTGTGGCAAGTTTAACTCCTCAATAGAGAATAT